GCAAGACGTCGCTTCTGGGCCTGGGAATCACCACTCCTACTCTGCCTGTCCTGTCACATGTGTTTACAGGTGTGTGTTAAGATGCGCGCTTAGTTCGTAGCTTATTTTGCTAATTTAACATTGAGGTCCCACATAATTTTATCTTTGTTATCAGAGCCGAACCATGAGTTTGACAGCTACTTGCAAGGACCCGTGCCATCTGCAGTAACTTCTACCGCGGTAGCCCTTCAGACAAGTTCTTCACCTGTCATTGCAGTGTCATCTGTTGGTGAGTCTGACAGATCATCTTGCGTCTTTGAGGTGAAGCTTATTTGACAAAGTCGTGCACTTTTTCACTGGCTTGAAGACATCTGAAGGTTATACTACAGGGGGCTTTGAGGGGCTTGTACAAGCCTCTTGTTAATTTTTGGCCAATTATCCAAGTCTCTTGTTATTGGTGTAGAGATTATACGGATACACCAATACCATGTTTCTCTTGATTTACCCAAGAGAATTAAATGTTAAACGTCCTGTGAACACAGTACATTCTTCGTGCTGATCTTTTGTTGTGTTTGTCAATTATCGGTGACCCCCGGATTGTATTTCTGTGCAGGAGAGGGTAGTGTTGCGGTGGCTGCGCCCCCCGTTATCATAACAGTGGAGGAGAGGACGGGCCCTCAGCCTGGGCCAAATATGCCGATTCAGGATGTTATCAAGTCGCTCATCTTGTTCCTTGCTTCAAGGTACGCTGGTAAACTATTTCAACATCTTGACAGATTCTTTATTTCTATCACTTCATATTTGTTATTTTATTATTCGGGTGTGGTAGTAATAACTCGTGATCTGATTTTTTAATTTGTTTATTTAAAAATGCTGTCGGTAGCTTACACTGTGTATTATCAACTGATAGGATGGTTAATGAATAATGAACTGGAAAGGATATGGAGTGAAGCAGTTATGGCCCAATTTTATTTACTATCCTTGCTTTTGCCTTGAGGGACTGAGTAAAACTGTGAGGAATCTCAGTCAGGGTAGCTGGTCTCCAGGCCAAGATTTGAAACTTGGCCATGACTTTTGATGATATACATTTTGTCAAGGGAGTATTGAGTTTGTAGAATATCTTATGTAACTTTTAGGATTTAATCTAATGATTTGCAGCACGTATTGTAATATATGTTTCATTTTATGTACTGTACATAATTATCTGAGCCAAACGTGTATTTTAGACAGAACCAGTCCCTGTGGAACTATGAAGATATAACAGCCAAGGTTTGGTCGGTGAGGAGTGTAGAACAGCTCGATGTGTTCCTGCAGCATGTGCTGAGAGTGTTCCGAGACTCTCTGCCCCACGCGCTTATCAGTGAACGCTGGGCTCAAACTGCGCTGCAACTTGGCCTGTCTTGTTCTTCTCGCCATTATGCTGGACGCTCTTTGCAGGTGTACTTTCCATATATCAGAGCTCTGTTTAATAAATAATAACCTTCTGCATAGTTTATGCGACTTCGGTAGTGACTGTTCTAGTATGTCGACAGTTGCAGTGAAATTCTGGAATAGTGAGCCCTTGTGAACTGTCAAAACACATTTGTCACATTGACGCTTTGGTATATTGAAGGCCAATTAATAACATTTTATTAATTTATAACAACAAATAAACCATATAAATCATTAGATATTATTATTTTTGTTTATTATCCTTGTAAATCTAATGTATTAAAGGAAATATTACAGTATTGGCATTAATGTAATATTTGGAATAATATTTAATTTATTCTGCAGTTTTTCTAGAAACTTTAAATCATGTAAACTTGGTGTTGCTTTAACATAGAAGTGGCTTACTTTTCTATGAAGCATTTTGTCAGTAACTTGAAAAAAAATGTATATATATGCTTTCTGTTCACACATAATGTAATGATAAAATGTCTTTTTTTTACCTTTGTTTCTTAAGTAAGATAATTTCAGTCACATTAAAACAGACTGTGGTCTTCTGGGTAGCGACACAAAGTAGATATACGGTTACCACCATTTTGAGAAATATTTGTAACCATGTACAATCAAAACTACATGGTGTCTCAACCCAGAAAATTAAAATCTGAATGTTTTTGCCCAAAAAACCTTAAATATCATTTACATTAAGTCATGTCATGAGGACTCTTTCATCTTTAGTTATAAGTGTGTATCATGATTTATGATCAAGAACCATCTCTCTTTTGAAATTATAATTTTCTTCACAATTTTAATTAGTATTCAATGTAATAAGATATTTTTTATATTTTTACACAGGTATTTCGAGCCCTTCGTGTGCCGATCACTTCAAGGATGTTGTCAGACATATTGTCTAGACTGGTAGAAACAGTAGCAGAGCAAGGCGAGGATATGCAGGTAAAAGAACAGCAAAATCTGTAGAAGTCAGCAATTCCACAGTCCTATTTTTA